GATCTCTATGATGCCTTGGCCAAAATGTTTAGCTCCTTTACCATTGGTACGTATATGGCCCACCCTCTTTTTTGTATTTTTCCTTTGCCATAATAACACCCATGATGTCCTTAATTATTCAAAAAACAGATCAAAACTCCACTTATCCTTAATACTACCTGGGGTTCTAATTATAAGATCATATTTATAGTTTTAAAATAAGGTCTTATAATTAGAATCGAAAATAGTATAAGACCTAATTAACTAATTTAATTAGATTAAAGATGTTGGTTGAATTAATTAATGTGATATGTTTTTTTCAAAACATCCTAAACATTTTTCTTAATTCCCCCCTCCCTCTTCTACTTAATTGTTGTCAGAAGAATATCAACAAAGTTAATTTAAAGAAAAAAATTAAAAAACGTGTTAATTAAGTCTTACATATAAAACCAATATGAACTCTTCAGTTAGGTTCCACATTAAAGACCAGATGAGCATAAATGACAGCTAACTAATAAATGACAGAAGAAAAGAGTTTAAGCAGTTGGGGATATATTAATGGACGAAATTAATGTTGTGTTGTTGATTGAAGGCAATTGTGGATCCCAAGTAATGAAGGACTTCATGAACGAGAGAAAGCTGATGAATCTCTTGAGCAGCTCCGACTATGTCCCAACCTATGAAGACAAGGATGGCGACTGGATGCTTGTGGGCGACGTACCTTGGGAGTAAGTTTTCTTATCTCATTACTATAAGTATACCCCAAAATTAAAACAACCCGATCCTTAATTATAACAATAATTATCGTACTCGATTTCCTGGCTAATTATTACCTTTTCCCCATGTCCACCCAGGATGTTTGTTGAATCATGCAAGCGTTTGCGTATCATGAAAGGCAAGGAGGCTATCGGACTTGGTTAGTAATAACACTTTTTATGCCTTTTTTTTAAATTTCCCCTTCCATGCATGATTAATCATCTAATCAAAATGTTTATTAATTTAAATTATGTAAATAGTACGTCGACATGTTCTGAGTTTGAAATTATTATCCGGGTTTATTATTTCAGCACCGAGGGCCGTGGAGAAATGCAAGAACAGAAGCTAGATTATACGTAGTGGTTACAGCAGAGATGTGTCCATGACCTACTCGTATATTCCTTTGTAATTGTGGTCCGACCGAGACTAAGGAATAATGGAGCTGGTGAACATGGATTATAGTTTTTTTTTTCTGTATCATTAATTAATATGCATGTGTATGGTTTGTTCGGTAATATTTCATACGAGACGCAGTGAGATGTCTTGATTAGTATTGATTAAGAACCGAAAAACAGTGATGGATGGCTTTATTATGTGTTTTGCAGGACTTAATATTGGCCTTCTTTGAGCCAGCAAAACAAAACGACTTTGGCTTTCTTTATTATTTGCTTTAATTGCCTGCTTTTTCTTGCTTGTTTTATAATAACAAGCTTAATAATGTGCTTGGCTGTACTAATCATTTATATCCTTGAAGTTGGATCGATTTTTAATTATTATCATTTTCGTTCTTTCCTTCCCTTTTTTTTTAATTTTGTATGAGAAAAACGAAGTTTCGTATGGGTTTTAGCTTGGGATCAAGAATCGGGCAGCACTGGACATGTTCCCTAACAAATTGGACGAAGGAACAAAATCATGTGCGTGTTCATTAATGCTTGCCAGCCAATATAGCTTTTTGATTAATTAAGTACTACTCCGGTGCTATATATAAGTTTTACTTTTGGAAAATGATGTAGCCTAAAATATAATCTTTATTTTTGAGTTTGTCTAAACATTCATTACTTTTTTTTTTTTCTATTTTGTTCTTAATTGACTGTATTTAATACTCCCCCTCTCTCATTAATATTGTCCCCCTATATTCTCTTTTATCTCATTTATTCTCTTAATAAGTAAGGGCAAATTTAGAAAAAAAGAATACATTTCTGACCCTTTTATTATTTTTAACTAAAGTAGTGTTTGGATGGAAACCAAACGATAATTTTAGAAGTGTTTTTACGGTATACGAAATAAATATATAAAAGAGTTTGCCTCGTTTTGTAAAAAAATGCTTTTCAAAAGCACTTTTTGAGTTAGCCAAACACCCCTTAATTTTAACTACTAGTTCGTCAAACATAATTCAGTTATTTGAAATTTATATATAAAATCGGAAGGATTATATTATTGTGACATATGCACGCAAGTATATATAACTTGTTTCAAAAACTACATGACCTCTCTTATTTTAAATTTAGTATTCCTAATTTCAGACACATACGTAGAAGGTTCCTCTTCATAAAACCCACCCAAACAAAATTAAGCATTATGTTAATGTTGGTACGATGCAACATAATCTTTTATTATTAAATATTTAAAGTATCAAATAGTCTAACAATTAATAATTTTAAATTTTTTATATGGTAAGTGAGTGTAATTTAAAAATAAATTTATGAAAATGGGTCTGTATTATGTTATATTCAGTAACTATGTTACAAATAAAATTAGATACCAAATGCTTCTAAATTCGTGTGACATTTTTTATTTTAACAATCTAAAGGGATTAATACAACTCGTTATTAAGAATTTTTTTTCATCAACTGAACATCTATCGAAATAAAAAATTATTGAAAAACGACAAAATTTGAACAATTTTAAAGCCCAAGCATGAAAGAATCGAATTTGCATCCGAGAGAGGGAGAGGAGAGGGAACGCTGAGTAGAGTATTGAGAAAAAGAAAATTTTTAATAAGCTTAATTTAAAGAATTGAAGTAAGATTAAAGGCTTTTAATTAAATTTTAGGATTAATATGATTTTTAGTCTGTTAAATTTGTCTTTATTTTAATTTTAGTTCATCAAGTTTCAAATTATAAATTTTAATTACTCAAGAAGCAAAATGATCTAAGTTTTTAACTGATTATAAAGACTAATATTTTAAATGAAAAAAAAAATTAAGAGATCAAAATCTATGATTTGAAACTTAAGGAATCAAAACCAAAATAAGAATAAATTTAAAGAATCGAAGTTTATATTAATCCTAAATTTTATTATTCTTTTATCTTACATATTTTTTAATTAAAATTTTAAAAGGGAAAATCCCAGAAAAAGCCCTTGGAATATACCAAATCCCAGATTGGGCTCTTAAATTTCGAAAATGACAGAATGGGTCATTGACCCAATTTGTTATTTGTGAAATTCAGGCGAATTGACATTTTTACCCCTGAGCAAAAGTGAGTAGTTATTCTCTAAACAAATCTAGGTAACGCTTACACTGTTCTAGTGATTACAAGATTCGTTGTAGTTAATAATAAGGTATCTGGCTAATAAGATACCTGACTATGAAAAAATGAGTAGTTATTCTCTACACAAATCTAGGTAATGCTTACATTGTTCTAGTGATTACAGCATTAGTTGTAGTTAATAACAAGACACCTGACTATGAAAAAGTGAATAGTTATTCGCTATACGAATCTAGGTAACACCTAAACTCTTATAGTGATTCCTTGAATCATTGTAGTGAATGAATAAATGAGGGCAAAATTGTCAATTCGCCTGAATTTCACAAATGACAGATTGGGTCAATGACCCATTCTGTCATTTTCGAAATTTAAGGACCCAATCTGGTATTTTCCATATTCCAAGGACCTTTTTTGGGATTTTCCCATTTTAAAACCCTATTTTTCTAATTTTTTAAATTAAACTCATTAAAAATTTTCCTTCCCTTTGTTTTCCTCATACCAAACATAAGGTAGAGGATAGAAGAGACGAGGGAAGGATGAGAGAGAGGAGAGAAGAGAGATAGAGTAGGGTAGGGATTCCATAGAGTGAGAGAGAAGAGGGTAAGGGAAAAAAACTCAGTAGAGAACAAAATGGTCTTTAAGTTTTGAAAATGAGGGCAAAACTATCATAAGAAATAAACTTCCAAAAAAAGAAAGAAACAGATAAAAGAAAAGAAAAAGAGGCATTCATAGAATTGGAAGAAAGAGGCTTCCATGAAATTCGATGGAATCTTGTTTCCAATAGAGTCAAGATTTTTAGCACAAATGGTATTTCATGACTTCCCATTTCCATTTTCATTTCCAGAGTTATAATTCTTTCATACTAAAAGAGATTTCTCGAATCAGTGCAAACTGAAATTGGTACACATAAACCTGTGAATCAAAGTCATAAAGGAATTATCACTGAATGGTCCCTCATTTTGTGTGGCATTTATGGGTGGAATTTGGTGATGGCTAGGTGTTGGGCTGTTGATAGAAGTAGCCGTGGCAATCCCTTGTGTCAAGATCATTATCCTTTAATTTTGACGATATATTAAATGCAAAAGCAACAGCAACCTAAATTTCATTTAACCAGCATAAATAAATGACATTGTTTTGAATGTTTGTTATGTTACCCGTAGAACAAGAAAATTAATATTGTGGTCGAGAGAATGTTGCTGAATAAATAGATATTGCGTGGAATGACAAGAAATGACACCCAATGAAAGCAATTGCAACCACTTAAATGAACTGAAAGGCACAGTGAAGGCAATACATAGTTAACAGTCTAAAATTAGCTAATTGAACAACTCTAGCTTGGCAAGCCCTTTAACAAGTTGTGCTGTAGTGTTTAATTATTAAACTTCAGATGCTAAAGATGATCACAGCTAGGAACAGGATTACACAGATGAATAACTGAAATCACATACCTGATAACTTTAAAACTAGTAATTGATTATAAGGCTCTTGTGTTGATAGGCGAGTCTTGATAGTTCATTAGACTGCATATTTTAGGTACTATTGCATAATTGTATGATTAATGTTGTGCCTTGTGATACCTTATATTTGCACAGTAGGACAAATATTAACTACGAACACCAGACATTATAAAGCATTGTCTATATTGTCAACGGAACACTGGCATATTTCATCAAATACAGTGTCCAAGACTGTAAACTTGTTGCAATATAATTTTACTGCAGCAAAACTCGATCCAAATTCAACTTGTTGCAATATAACTTATTGACTTGGAACAACTTGAAAAGAAAAGAGATGAGATCTTATTACAAAAAAATTGAGGCAATCATCCGACGTCCATGTAACTCAGCAATTATGATGCTCAACATGTTTAACATAAAATGAGCAATGCTAAGGGAACAATTTCATACCCTAACCGGAAAAGACTGAGTATGATATGACCTGATCCGCGCCTATGGGATACAGCCTTTGGAGTTTAAAATACAACAAACAAGATATTGAACATGTATCAGCAAAATCAGTCGACATGGACATTGCAGAGCCTTTTCTCAGCCCTCCTCCTCTTTTTCCCGTCATGAGGCAACTGTAAAAAGAAATAAATTATCTGGTGAGTTTCAAGTTCAACAGAACATCTGCGTCTAAAGATGAGCAAGTCACGGAATTGGCTACAAGCAAAATATAGATACTTTGAAATCCATTTTGTGGGCGTGAGGGGGAATGAGAAAATATGAACAAGATACGCAAAAGATTCGGCGCCCCGTTATAGCATTATGCGGCACCTTCTTGTACAATACACTATACTATTAAGCCTAAGATAGCACGCAAACAGTTAATAGCCTACCTCAATTGTATGTACGGTATTGAATGCTGCATGCTAATGTTAATTTCAACTTCTAAGGAATCAATCAAAAGTACACTAAATCATGATCAGTGATGTTTTCTTTTTTTCCAGCTTTACCTCACTACTGAGAAAATGCGGGACCCTAACTCTTTTGGAGCCATCAGGTAGACGTTTACAAGGTGATAGGTTTTCCATAGCGGTAAAAGCATTGCAGACCTGCAAACAAAATGAAGACCATTTGGTTAAATAAATTTAGTTTGCAGTCACGCAGAATTGCAAACCTTAGGCCTAAGCATATATTGAGATTTCGTACAGACTTCATAGCAAGTTCATCAGATTCAAATTGCCCAATGAAGCTCCACCTTAGAGAGAAACAAGGAGAATACTGCAGAACAAAAATCACCGGACATGCTTTCTCACCTGACTTTGAATAGCCCCAATTAGCATGTCCTGACAACCTGATGCATGTACGTTTTCTAGACTAGGGCACTGAAGCAACAATCTCTCTGAACGATTATGACAAAATTATCAGAATTAAATGAAAACCAAGAAAAGTTGAATTTAATATGCGACCAATATTTGTTTAAGAACAGGGACATTAAGTCACTACCTGGATGCAAATTTTTACACGAATTTAGGTTCAGATCATTGAGCTGTGGACAGTTTAAGTATAGAGCCTGCACATTATTTCGGGATAAAGTTTAACGTTAAGAAGCTCGAGAAAGAATATGCAGCTTCTTCAGAATAGTAAAACTCACATCTAAGCCAGAACAGCCCCATAAACTTAGTTTCTTCAATCGGTTATGTTTGATAATTAACTTCTGATTCACAAGGTGAAGATTAGAATTGGATGTCTCCAGTGATTTGCAGTTGTTTTCATCAGCAGTTTGATTTTCCGAATTAGGATCACATATGGTCATGCCACAGTCCATAAGTTCAAGAACCGGCAATTGAGCTGAAGCAAATTGAATGCCACCTAAAACATAAAGACAGCAGGTTAGCGGGTGGAAACTTGAGCAAGCTTTGCAGATTGTGAGGCAATATAGGACATAAAAGGACATTTACTTGAGGTCACGTTAGGGCAAAGAGCAAGGAGAAGCCTTGACAATGTTTCAGGGAAGGCGTTACAGATTATCCCAATTCCACTGTCACTGATGCTTGATCTGTGATAAAAGCAAATGAATAAACATAATCGAAACATATTTGCTCATATTTGACTTTTGTTTATAATTGTGCACTATGCTGAGTTGCTACATGTATTAGTTGCCTTCAAATTGAAAGCATCTTCTAAAATCCCAAAAAGGAAAAAAGGACAATCAGAATAAGGACATAAACTTACCCACTGAGATCAAGCAATTCTAGATTTGGATAGCTGGAAGCAATCGCAGCAACAGATGCATCAGTAACTTCAAATCCAAGAACTAGAGAAAGCATTCGCAGCCCTCTGAATGACGAAATATGTAAACAATCATCACAAGGCTTATTAAAGCATGTGGGTGCTAGGTAATTAACTTTTAACTAGCTCAGAACATGCAAAATAAAAGGCATATAAACAGTGCTATAGTTTAACAGTAGAAAGCTAGCTCTATAACCTATTAGTTGCATAATCATTTATGGGCTACAATCGAGCACTGTGTTGAAAGTTGGAGACCAGGAATGATAAGAATCAAATCCATTCAAACCTTATGATACCAAGTACTTTACATCATAAAATTTAAAAGTATAAATAAATTATAAACCAACAATCAGAGGCATAGAAACGCCATAAGATTCAAAGAGTTCACGTAATTTAAAAGCCTCGAGCATAAACCCGACTACAAATTGGTTGTCCATGCGCTTAATAAGATGTCGTAAATTGTACCTTACATCAAACTGACTTTTTTGTCATGAGAATTTATTTTGATTTTTATGCACTATATATCTTATTCGCAATGTAATAACTGTTATTGTCTTTACCTGAAAATTTTAGTCACGTGACTAAAGGTGCTAGCACATGTATTATTGTCTAAGCATATTAAAAGGAACACACAGCAGGCTATCTAGAAAATCAAGGCACTATGGATAACGCAGTTCAATGAAGTTTACCTAACTTGATATTGAATATTGTAATTGAAAAAAACAGGGTCAGAAAGCGAAACACTTTGACAGACCTCAACTGAGCAGCCGTTAGAGCAAGCACAGCAGCATTAGAAAGCCGCATTGAAGCTATATGTATGTTTTGCAACCTGGGGCAAGTTCGTCCCAAATTTTCAACCATAGTAGTGATATCGGTAGCTTCATTTTCTTGTCGAGAAAATTCCAATGATATCTCTCTCAGCTGGGGACAGTTAAATACCTAACAGTTCAATGTTACTGTTAGTAATCAGAGAATAGCTTATCCCAAAGATAAGAAACGAGAAAATTTTATGTGTGGAGAATGATCACACCCAAAAAAAAGTAAGTTAGACAGGAAAGTTAATCACCATCTTAGAAAGAGAATGGAGATCCGATAGCCAAAGTGTTGAAAGACTAGAGGAACAGAGAACAAAACCCCCCAGATTATGACAACCTTCCATCTTGAGGCATTTCAGGCTTCGTTTATCAGCAACAAATCGACTTAATTCATCCCTGAATTTTTGAATTTGAAACATAGGGTTATACGATCAGAACACCCAACATAGTTTATATATTGTGAACTTTCATCAAGAAAAGGAATAGAAATTAAGTTCAGGAATTTTACAATGTAATGCGAATAACATTTACATTGGCATTGTGGATATATGCAGCAATGAGACTTAGGTAACTTAAGTTACATTCTAACTAAACTTCACTCGCTGCAATTTTTTGCAATTTTTTACTTTCAAGTTAAACTGTGTGAGTGTAGACCACAGCGCTTGAGAATGGGAAAGCTTGTTTCACATTCAACACAAGAAATTTGTACCTTAACCAAAAACATATAAACAATAGTACAAACTATAACACGAATAATACCCATTGATCCGATTGATTGCAGTATTAGATGTCGATATCTCCATGGACTCCAGATTAGGGCATGAGAATGCAATGCAGGCCAGCATGGTTGAATCCAAATCGCTGCAACATCAAAGAAATAAATCTAGAATTAGGACATAAAGAACTGGTGATGGCCATGGGTTTTCTCAAGATTGCACTGCTAGTATTCATTCTCAATTTAAGTCACGATTATTTTCCCCATTCACAAAGCCAGGTCTCATTAGATCAATGTTCGCTTTCCCACCTTATGTTTTTCGGTTAGCATCTTTGTGCGATATCCGATCACTAACTTCAGGTAAGTTTTCAATATCAGATTACGTTGCTTGTGTCTCATTTTATTAAATTAATCGATTCGGAAGTGCAGTTCTGCAGATCTGGACGAGTCCGGTGAATGGAACAAAATGTACACCTTTCCATTTTAAGAGAGAGCTTCACGACCCCCGGACACTTCTGCAGCATCGATGCAACAAATCCCAGCTGAACGCCTGCTGGAACCCTGAGTTTAAGCTCTTCCGCTGCCCTCCACAGCCTTCTCGTCATATCCCTCCATCCCCTGCATACCCTCGCCGCTGACAACAGTCCCGTCGGCGGCAGCCTCTTCAACACTTCCCACAAAAGGTTTACCGGCAACCCGGACGAATCTAGATCCGGCTCTGGGTCAATAAACAGATCTAGATCCTCTCCGTCGGACAACTCCGACGGATCAAATCCGTTGGTATGGTCATCGACGTCCTCGAATGATAACGCGCGACGGAGGCGGGAGTAAGGCTGCCGTGGCGGCGGCTCACGAGCTGCGCTGACAGATGAAGGGCCGGAAATGGCAGGAAAACTCGATACCGATGCATCAGCAGGAGTGGTAGCAGGAGCAGATGTGGGCGTTGTTAGATGGCAGACATGGCCCTTCTTCGGAAGACCGCAGCGCCCACAGTTATAACTGCCGCGCTTTTTACCCCGTTTGGCGTCAGAAATGACGCTGCCGGCGCCACCGGGGGTGGCGGCGATATGGGATTGAGGGTGGTAGTGCTGCATAGAGAAAATTGGGAGTGTCTGAAGAAGTTGAGGGGGGGAGGGGAAGAAAATGGAGCCACCGATAGAGTAAAAATAGAGAGACGGGGCGGGAGAGTTGGCGCCATTTTCATGGCTTTTCTGCCTTGCGCCTTTTTTTAATTTTGGTTTGGAGCCGCTCCAGTTTTTGAAAAAATATTTTTTAAAAAAAATACACTCAATTGCCAGATAACTGATTTAGCGTCAAGACGACGCATTAAAGTGGGAAAAAAAAAAAAACCGTAGCACGATCAAAACTGAAAACCCAATTACTGTGAATGTGATTTTTGTGAAATCAATTCGGATCAGATAATGAGAGATTCGAAAACCAAAAAAAACTACTTTTGTGGAATCCATATATTAAAGTTGTATTAAATATGTCCCTTTTTTTTATTTCAGGCATTGGTTAATCAATCTTTGTTTTTTGCCAACGATTGATCCATCAAAACAGGTGAGGTTCGATTCATGTATGGTATTAAGTCCAAATATAGAAAAATAAACTTAGATGGGTATCAAAATTAAACTCTGTGTGTGTGTATCGCCTTGAATGGTTAAATATATGCTGTATACTACAAGAGCGGGCTTCTACGCATGTGTGGGAAATAAACTGAATTATATGATTTTAATTTATATTCTAATATGTGCGTGTGTGTACCCACCCGATTTTGGTGCGTGTATATATACGCAAAACTTTTCTTCGTCCCGTCACCTTCAAATAAACAGCAAATGAGATGGTAAAAAGGACAACGAATGAAAATGAAGCTGATTATCGACGATACCAGGACAGATTTACTCGGGAAAAAAAACTAGCGGATCTTAATGTATTCATTCATGTTTTAGATCAATTGGTTTTTATTTCCAACGTTCGACGGCAGCAAGATCGTCTTTTTGTTTCTTTTTATCAGTAAATTAGTGTTATTAATGAGTTGATCAGACTAATTCTCCAAGACATATGAAACTCTAGAATGGTCTTGAAATAGCACTTCATTCCGTAATATAATTCAGTTGACAAAATTTTCTAGTTTTGTTTTTATTAAAATTTTTGTGCATTTACAAATTATTCTCATATTTCTTTTTTTCTTTAATAAGAATTATACAAGGACAGGATTAAAAAAATAAGTATGAAATATATTACAAATAATTTATATTTAAAAATAAAAAAATTTTATAGGTGCTTTTTATTTAGAACTGAGGCCTCCTGATTTTGACCCAACGGTCAAGTGAGGCAGACAAGGCGCAAAGGACAAACACTTGGCGGCAACGAGGTGTTAACGAGATCAGCCCAATATAAAATCAAACACTGATGTTCCCCAGAATCCAATGCCCCATAACTAAATTAAATAATCCTAATATTACAACGGTCCATATTACGTATTTCTCTCTGTTCTGCTGTAAACCTGGAATCAATGTGAATGCATCTGATTACAAGCCTTGGTTTTAAAAATCCCCCTCGTCCCAAATTTAAAAAATAAAATAATCAAGGGAAGTTGTAGAGTTGTGATTTTTCATTTTTAATGAAAAAGGGAAGCCTGTGGTTAATCTTTGAGGAGCCATTAGGCTTAGGCATGAGCCAACATATGCCACGACTCGTGCCTGTGCCGAAAGTTGAGAGTACAATGGCTTAGCAACTGGTTCATTTCTTAAAAGTAATTTTATGGAGTTCAAGATAAATATAATTAAAAAAAAAATTTGTCTCAATTTATATAAAATACATTTTTAATTAACGCCACCTTAATTTTGATAGTGGCATGTGACATAATTAGGGCCCCTCCGCTACATGTTGTACGTATTGATCGTTTATGTATTTCTCTCTCTCTGTTTTTTTTTTTACCATAGATCGTTTATGTCTTTCTCAATATCCTGTGATTAAATATTTTTTAATGACGCCATATATCATAAAAAAATTTTGTTTTGGTTCTAGTGTCTAAAATAAGCTTTTTTTTTTATTTTGGTTTCTAAAATTTAAAATAAGTGGTTTTGGTCGTTAGAATTTAACCTTATTTTTATTTTCATCGTTGTTTCAATGACAACAAATCTTAAGCCATATCAAAACGAAATTAAATTTTAAAAACCAACACAACTAGCTAAAATTATGGAAATCAAAATCATTAATTCTAAATTTCGGGAACCAGAATCAGAATGAGGTCAAATTTTACGGTGGATTAACCTTTTTAAAAATTCACAAAAGTGGTCCTAGATGTTTTTTTAAGAATATTTGTTTTTGGGTAATATAATACAAATAATTTATTATTCGGTAGTTTTCAGATTTTATGACATTCTCATGCATCTTCAATAAAAAATTATCTAATACGTGGTTACTACGTGTCCATGTATCTCTGCGTATTTCTCAACGTATTTTCTCGTTCATCGTATCTAATTATCTTCACATACTATTTAGATTAGTTCCTCGAGATAATCATCAGAAATATAACTTCATAGTTTTTTTTTTTTTGTTTTTTTAGAAGTTTAAATAGACATTATAATTTTTTCGATATGCAAGGGTTTATGTGACTCGAGTTTTAAGAATTCACTAAGGTTATGATATGTCTTCAGGCCAGGCTCAAAGAATACTCACTCATCAACAATGCTTTCATATCAATCAATTGAAGATTTTACAGGTTATGAGCAAATTTTTTTTATCAAATCAACTAATTTTATTGGCAAATTAAACATGATAGTTTTTTTGAACGTGTTTTTGAAAATTATTACTGAGTATTTTTTTTAATCAGAATGTTCAAACCAGAGTATAACTTATATTTTATAGGGTGCATATGCATGCATTTTGTATTGCTCTTCCGTGCAAATGTAAAATTCCTTATGTAAAGAAAAAAAATAGTTAGATTAAGTTTTTTATGTTTATCATGTTATGTTATTCAATTATACATGGTCATAAGTTTTAGTTTTTTTTTTTGTTCATGTAAACTACAGAATCTGATAAAACAGACATAACAAACTTAGCCTAAATAGTATGTACACATATGTATATGTGTATAGTGAGGGTTCGAATTATTGATCTCAGCTGCTTACATCTTATTCTGTTATTACTGAGACCACGTTTCATATTTTAATATATCCCAGCAATAAACTCGTATTTCATCCCTCGACAATAAAAAATGTCAATATTATTGTCTATTATTCTGTTTTTCTTTTAACCAGCGTCTATTATTCGGTTTCATCTGTCATACCAAGAGATTTTAGTATTACATGACAGAGTTTTGGGTTGCTAGATTTCCTCGTTTTAAAATAAACCAGTCTGACACTGATATTTTTGTGAATACATCGAGGGGGGAAAAAGAAAATACCACTGTGTGTTTTTTGTTTTTGCCCAAAGACTGTGTTCTAAAAGATAAAAGGAGAATGATAGAACAAGAAATTATAAATTATAAATCCCAAATCAAATTTGGTAACATAATTTTATTTAGTTTTAATAAGTCTAAATTTACAAATGACAACAAATTTTTGTTGACATTTCTTATTTGATATTTACAAAATTCCAGCTTCTTTTTTTGTTATTATCCCAAGAATAAAAGGATTAAATGATCTTTACCTACTAAATTTACTCCCATTTTAATTTTAGTTCCTTAAATTTTAAATAATAACTATTGATTTCTTAAAAAATAAAATACTCAAAATATTTATTAAATTATAAGAATCAATATTTTAAATTAAAAAATTTTAAAAATCAAAATTTAAAATTTGTTTCGGGCGTTTGCCTCACTACTTACCAAAAAAACAGGATTTTGTCATCTTTACCTTTCAGTGGCAATTCCGTAAATAGCATCAGACCAAAAGCAACCCTCGCCCAATTGGACTTGGAAATAATTTTTTTTTTTTTTTTTTTGGAGAAAAAAAGAAAGAAACAACCCTAGCCCGTCCATCGACTCTTCCCTCGTCAATCCTCATCCTTCTTCTTCGGGCATTTTCCGCAAACCAGTCGCGAGCCGCAACGTGCAGGTCTGCTTCGTCAGAAGTCCCAGTTGGGCGAGAATAATAGTAATAAACAAAACTCCCTCAAAACCTTAGTTAAAACCCTAGTCTCCAAATCGGCCAGACCTGCCTTCATCCCCGTCTTTCTTCGTTCCCCTTTTCACCCTCCGTTGTGCTCTGTTTTTGGTAATATTTGGACATTTCAGCATCGTTCCTCGGGGTATATTGAGCAGGTCAGCTTTGTTCTTTTTCTTTCTACGGCTCTGCTTCATCGTCCTCATCGTTCTTTTTCGCGCCTCGTTTAAAGTGAAGGAATGTGTTTTAAAACATACTGTGTGTTCTATTTTGGTGTTAAATTGGAACACTAATGGTTTCTTTCAAGAAAAATTAATCATATCATTGACAAAAGTGAAAGAGGGAATGCAAGTATGCTGGCACTCTTCATCACGAGTGCAAAGTAGTCTCTAACATGTTCCAAGGTTTATTATAAGCTGAAGAATGATTTGTGCATTTGCATTCAATGCTATATTTTCCCATGATTGTATGCAATCGAACTGAATGTTTTATTAAGCCTGTACCACCCTTTTTCCCCTCCCATGTATGTTGCTAAATGGTTTTGTCTTAGAAATGATTATATGTTCAATTGAAATATTTTATTCGGTGACTTCAATCTTGTATTTTAGAATATTCTTGCCTGGTGCTGTGCTTTTTTTTGCTTTGGGAAAACTATTCTTGAGTTACTATAGTTTCCTCCTTCGAGTTTTAATTAGTTTTAATTTGGCGTGTTTGTGTGTGTGTGTGTTTTTTTTCCGTATTAAATCTTTTAATTTTACTCTTTTAACACCATTAATCCTTATAACTTTGCTCTATTAGCATTATTAGACCATGTATAAAAACTAGTTGAGATGATTTAATATCGGGAGAAAAGCTCACTGGTACCAAATTAAAAATCGAAGGAGCTATATGTACCTTAAAGATGTTTTTCCGTTGTGCTTTTGTTTCCTAGGTCAATGTCTGTTGAACGTTAATTTTCTTAAGCTCTGTCCTTGCCTTTGTTGAAGGGGGGGAAAAAAGAATACTCTTATGTGGCTCAAAAGCTTTAGCCCTCTCTGTGATCTCGTAGAAGTTTATCACGAGTCTAAATCAAACTGGAGTGATTCAGCTGTTTCAATTCGTCTAATATCATATATATTGTTTATTTTTAAATTTCACAATGTCAACTTTACTACTGAATTTTTGCACTTTGTTTATTCCACAGCCTGGTTTGTAAAATATGAGTTTAATATCTCAAAATGTTGACCTAAAAAATGAGGTCAAGAAGACCAAAAGAGGGGAGACCGGTGAACTTACTTATCTGGAAGAAGATGGAGGTGTAAAAGAATCTGAGACTGATATGTTGAAAATGAAAAAGAGAAAGAAAGAGAGCAAGAAGGAGCAGCTGCAAATGGAACAAGCGAAGGAAATGAAAACGCTAGAGAATTTTTTATTTGGATCTCTCTATGCCCCTATCGAGTTCGGAAAGGGAGATGACAGTCTGCAAACTAAGGCTTCCGATTCATTCTTCACTGACCGTTCTGCAAATAGTGTGCTATCTGCTTATGAAGATGCAGATTATTTAGAGGAAAGTGATGATGATAGGGACCCTTCACAAAGAAAACCAGCTTGGGTAGATGAAGAGGAGGAATTAACTGCTGTAAACATAGCCAAAGTAAATAGATTAAGAAAACTGAGAAAGGAAGAGGGTGAGAGCTTGATTACCGGTTCTGATTATGTGTCAAGATTGAGGGCACAACATGCAAAACTCAACCCTGGAACCGACTGGGCAAAGCTTGGTTCAAGGTCAGAAGTAGATAAATCTTCTGATGATGAATCAACAGATGAAGAAAATGAGGTTGTTATGAGTCAGGGTTACAAGGATGTTGATGATATCCTTAGAACAAGTGAAGACCTGGTTGTGAAGAGCAGGTCAAAGTTGTTGCCAGGACATTTGGAGTACTCAAGGCTCATGGATGCAAATATACACGATCTCTCTAATCGTCCCATTAATTCAGTTCAGTTCCATAGAAATGCCCAGCTGCTTCTTGCTGCAGGACTGGATCAGAGGGTTAGATTTTTTCAGATTGATGGCAAGCGCAATACTAAAATTCAAAGTATCTTCCTTGAAGATTGCCCAATTCATAAGGCGTCCTTCTTGCCTGATGGATCTCAGGTTATTTTATCTGGCAGAAGGAAGTTTTTTTACAGTTTTGATTTAGTTAAGGCTGAAGTCGACAAAATCGGCCCTCTGGTTGGTAGGGAGGAAAAGAGCTTGGAAGCTTTTGAGGTGTCCCCAGATTCTCGTATGATAGCCTTTCTGGGTAACGAAGGCTATATTTTGTTGGTTTCAACTAAAACGAAGGAATTAATTGGTACTCTAAAGATGAATGGAACGCTTAATGCCTTAACTTTTGCTGAAGATGGACAGCAGTTGTTGAGCACTGGTGGTGATGGCCACATCTACCACTGGGATCTTAGGACAATGACTTGCATGCACAAGGGAATTGATGAAGGTTGCATAAATGGTACAGCTATTTGCACATCGCCTGGAGGGGAACTTCTTGCAACTGGTTCAGGCGTAGGGGTTGTGAATGTTTACAATAGAGAAGAGTTCCTTGGCGGCAAGAGAAAACCCCTGAAGGCTATTGACAATTTGACTACCAAAGTGGATTTCATGAAGTTTAATAACGATTCTCAAATACTAGCAATCTGTTCGAGTATGAAGAACAGCGGTTTAAAGTTGGTACATATCCCATCTTACACAGTATTCTCCAACTGGCCGCCTCCAAATAAGAACCTGAACTATCCTCGTGCTATTGATTTTAGCCCTGGTGGTGGTTTTATGGCTGTGGGAAACACTGGAGGCAGAGTTTTGTTATACAAGTTGCATCACTACCAGCATGCCTGAAGAGAACTTGAAATATTTTTCATCTGAAACGTGTTGTATCAGCATCCGCTGGTGCTGATGGCTAGTGCGTAATCTGTCTTGTTGAGTTTATTCATCAATATCTGCGTTCTTTAGTTTCCAGATTCCAAATGGTAAACCAGAATACAAGTCTTCTGGGCAAAATTTTCTTCGGTTCTGTTGTATTTCGCCATACGCTGGAAACCCGCTGGCTCTGGTGGTTTTACTCGAGAATAGGCCTTGTTGCTTGAGATGTTTATGAAAACTGCAATCGTTTCTAGTTTCTTGGTGCGGATAGTAATGATGACTGAGAAGAGTTTCAGGGAAAATACGGATGAACTGGTTATTACATGTCACTGATGAGTTATACACGCTGTATTTATAACCTAGGATGCGTAGTCTTAATTGCAGTAACGTGTTCACTGTTTTTTTTCATATTAAATCTTGTCGTCTGAAAATTATATCGAGGTCCAACTGATCCGAGTTGGGCCGAGAGCGAGTTTCTCAGCGTTCCATTTTTCCCATTTGCTAGGTTTAGCTGTAAAATATAGTTGATGAGAATGACTTAAGAGTGTGTTTGGCATTCATAACTCCCAAACCGACTTCTCCACTGAAAAATGATGAAAAAAAGCATCTTTTTGTTTAAATGTCATGTTTGGAGTGACGATAAAAATAAATAAGTTTATGTCTAAAAAGAGTTTTTTTTCCAAAAGCTTCAATTCATTGCTTCTCACTTCTCCACAGCAAGTTTAGATAGGTGGGGCCCATGAGTGAGGGAGAAGAGAGAATGCTTTATGCATGATGTGTTTTTTTTTTAAAAACCTAGCCACTTGTTTGGACCAAAAAAAAAAACCTAGCCACTTGAGGTGGTTCCTAATACTATATCCGCTCTTTAATATAAGATCTTATTTGATTTTTATTTTGATTCTAAATATAAAATTTTAATCTACTTTGTTTTTCATAATTTATGTATTTTTTTGCAAAGTAGTCCTCATAACAATAGTAATTCTAACCAATACACTTGATTAGCAAGAATATTTTAAGAAAAATAACACATTTATTACAAATAAGTAACTTAACTTCTTTCTTTAATCTCTTCAAATTAGTCAACTAGCTCTTATAATTACGACCGGAGGTAGTATTAAAAAAATTATTTTTTGAATAATAAAACCATTTTTTTTAGAAACAAATGTATTGTTTTTTATTATGTTCTATCATATTCATAAAATCTATGGAAAATTGAGAAAAATGTTGTATTAGAAATTTAATTAGTAAGAAGTAATTGATAAGTTTTTAATTCTTTACTTTTAATAATTTTTTTCCTTACTTCTTAAAAAATAGTCACATTATATATATCTAATATTAGATATGTACTATTTAATAAAATTCATGTCTTTTTAAGTCATTTTACATCCAAATTTATTTTTACATCTATCATCTAAATAAGTTTCAGCTTTTCAAACTGACTTTTTTTCAAAACCAAATCCAAACATAAATCATATTATCTTATCTAACTTTTACTCAATCTAACTTCTGTAAAAGTTAGATTGAAAAAAAATTACTTCTGCTACGACTATCCCAAACACATCCCTAGTGTTTGGACACCATAAAAAGTGCTTCTTAAAAGTACTTTTTCACGATAAAAACACTTTTAAAACCATAATTTTAATTATACCCAGACACCCCCTTAAGTTCAAAGAAATTGTTTTGGAAAAATTTGATAGCCCGTTTGTTTTAAGCTTAAGAAAGTAAGTAAACATATGATTTGTCCGTTTTAAAAATATTTAATTTCGGTAAAAATTATTTTAAACTTGGTACAATAAGTTATTTGAACTAATTTTTTAAATAATGACTTTCTTAAGTGCATTTTCATGTCCTTTATTATTTAAAGATTTTGCGAGTTGAGTTAAAACAACCATCTTAAAAAGTGCATTGATAATACACGAACGCATGCATACCTGCGTGTAAAACAAGGGATTGATTTACTCTGCCTAGAACCTCATCATGGAACTCAACATGAGGCGTGACTATTGTTTCCTGGACTCCGCTGCATTAGCTCTCTGCATTTCAAATCGTCAAAATTCAACACCAAGAGAAGTTTAAAAATCGCACACGCTCCAAGGCTGAACAAGGCGTACATTCCCGGTTGGGATAGTCACCAACTTCACAAGTTAAATAACAAATGGCATGATGAAACATAAACAGCTCAAAAATTCAATTCGGCTTCTTCCTAGCCTGAACATCGTCCCGCCTAATTACAACGTAAAAATGGACCTCTCCTCTGGGCCCGTAATCCCTTAAATAGCTCCATCGTCGGGGATCATTCCGACCTTCAAACTGAATACAACCAACCCCGCCAATTCAGGTAATGACGATAGGCTCTGCCTGCTTCTGGCATGTATAACAACTGCAGCGGGGTGACTCGACTTAAACCCCAGCCGCAGCTTTTACTCCAGAATCTGTTTTTCCCTGAAATTAATTAAATACAACGGTCAGTCAGGACTTGAATGCATCTACAGGCGGAGACAAAGCAAAGAACAAGACATTTTCACAATCCATTTGCTTACAACTAGCTACAAAAGAGCTTCCATCCTTGTTCTTTCTACTTTAAAATGCATGTTTTACCCACTGTGGAAAGCAGCATATTGAAGATAGGGGGAAAAAAATCATATCTATATATAATCTGTAGCAAGTTAGTGAGGCTTGTTTTTCAAACTCTATATGATAAGCAAGCCCATTATAAATAAATCACATAGAGTTCTTTAAAAGTCCAAAACCCAGTAAGAATGGACGATGTATCCCAGTTTATTGTCCACAATGCAATACCACGTAACTCACAAAATGAGAATCAAACAGAGGCTGGGGACACCTCAGCGGGCTTGCTCTTTCGAATCTTCCTAGTGGTAGTCCTCATTGTGACAAACTCCTCAGCCGCAGTTGGGTGAACACCCACAGTGGCATCGAAGTCTGCCTTGGTCAAGCCAGCTTTAACAGCAACAGCAAATCCCTGGGCACCATTAGATGTGTAACCAAGTGAATTCATAACTCATGTTATAGGCAGCTTAAGCAACTACACGAACCTGCACAATCTCAGGTGAATCTTCTCCACACATATGCAAACCCAAAACTTTATTTGTTTTCGCACAGACTATTAATTTCATAAAAGCTCGGTCGGGTAGCCCCGAGAGAGTAGCTTTAAGTGGCTTGAAATTAGCTGTGAATATGTCAACATTTCCATACTGTTGTACAGCCTGTCAAAAACCTCACAATGTTAAGCATAACATCATTCTGCACGAGTGGTCAAAAGCTCATTAGTCTCATGGAGGGGCGAACATTCTGTTACCTGTTCCTCTGTAAGACCAACTTGTCCAATTGGTGGTTGAGAAAACACAGCAGAAGGAACGGCTCTAAACAAGGGAGAAATGACAATTTAATTAGGAGGCTGCTATCACTGTGGTACGCTAAGGATGATAAAATTTGAGTGACTGGGCTGACATTAGATGGAAAAAGGAAACAGAAGGCTATCACACAAATGTATGCGCTGAAAGATAACAGAAACAGTTGGCGTTGTTAACAATCCATTACAACTCTCATTTCCCCAATTCTATAGAAACATCCAGCACCATTAGGAATTTTCAACTAATGTGTTGAAGAAATTCAAGAGAAAAAGATGGTTCAAAAATATAATTTCTCTGTGGTATAGAAAATACTGCATCGTACAGCGAGAAATCTCAGTAAAGAATGTGGATTGAAATGGAATCTTTCACAAGACCAAATTAGGAGTGAGAAATGGCAAATATAAAGATGATTTCTGTAAGGAAGGAACAAAAACACAAACAGGTCAAAAACTAGAATTCTACAAACTTCAAGTAATAAACTTACAAGGCAATCTGATATTTACTTAAGTTACTTGTTTGGCAAGACGCATGTCATACCTATAATCAGGTTTCGTTGGATTATTCTGAAACAGCGTTTTAGCCAGTGCCATTCCCTCCATCAATGCAACAGGAGTAAGATTCATCCTATCCGTAACATCTCCAACTGCCCAAATGGATGGAACTGATGTTTGAGAGTATTCATCAACCTGGGTGGTCGGGGAGTTTTGCAGAGAAAGAGTTAGGACATAGGGCTAAAACGTATTTGAACAACCAAGGAGAAGGTTAAACTACCTCAATTGCTCCATTTTTAGCTGTTTTCACACCAACAGATTCCAGCCCTAGGTTCTGCAGGAAGTTTCAGTTCAGAGATATACTCACCAGACAAACAAGATAAAATTGTAATTTCACAACTAAAACAACCAGCTGCTCAGGGAAAATGACATTCAGCAACACTAAGACTAATTATTCAAGAAAACCAGGCAGCTAAAGGAATAATCATGGCAAGTACACGTGATCTGAAAAAATTACCCTCCCTTTGAGAAATAGTAAATCTTAAAGGTAACTCCCTTTTTTCTTCTTGTGTGCTGTTCAGATAGAGTTTTTTGAAGATGATCATGGGAAGGCGGAGCTGCTTTTTCAAGCTACTACGTTCCCAGTGAGCCACTCTTTGGTTCAACAATTTAAAGAGCTCTCAGATAAACAGCAAGGAAAATAAAGAGGGAAAAAAAAAGTAAAATACATTATCGAAAGTCTAACCTTGGTATTTGGTGTGCGTCCTGTTGCAAACATAATATGTGAGAAACCTTCCACTGTACCTTTGTTAGTCTTCAAAGACAACGAGCCATCAGCTGACTTGATGATAGCTTGGGGAGTCTCCTCAACATGAAACTCAATTCCTCTTATCGCCATCTGTTCTGAAACAAAATCTCTAACCTGCACGGTTCACAATTTGAATTTGAAGAATTTACACTGTGTGGTGATTGTTTAACACTAATATCATCTGGGTCCTTACCTCTTCATCAAATCCCCGTAAAACTTTTTTCTGCCGTATAAATACATGGACCTCGCTTGCTAAACCATTGAAAATACCAGCAAACTCCAAGGCGATGTAACCACCACCAACAATAGCTATCTTCTCAGGTTTTGAAGGCAAATCAAGGGCAGCATCTGAATCTATTGCATATTCACGCCCAGGGATATCAGGAATGAAGGGACGACCCCCTACCGAAATTATAATGTGTCTGGCTGAATATAGCTTTCCATCAACATCTACTGTGTGAGGATCTACAATCTGTAGGTGAAAAAGCATTAGCACCATGATGAAAAACATTCCTATAATATCCAATCATGTTAGAAAGTCAATTAGTATCATCACATCACCTTTCCACGGCCTTCAATCAGCTTGACATCAGAATTTTTCAAAATATTCTTGTAGATACCAGTAAGACGTTGTAACTCAGCATTTTTATTAGCCATCAGAGTACTCCAGTCATGCTTTGGTTCGCTATCATATTTCCAACCAAATCCATTACTTTCTTCAAATTCATGAGCATATTTTGATGAGTAGACAAGCAACTTCTTTGGCACGCATCCACGTAGTACACAGCTGCATGGAATGAATAAAGATTAAAGCTTCTTGAAACATGCTATTTTATAATCAAAACAAACGAGTTAACCTTGTATGCTGCTGTCATGCAAAAGATTACAACTTCAATTGGAAAAATTATCGAAAGTGCATCCTCCCCACACCAACACCCCCCGCCCCCTTCCAAAAAAAAGGGGAAGAAAAAACCTTGTTTTCCTTCCTGTCAAAACGATCATTTCTTTCTCTTACTTTTTTTTTTTTTAATAACCCATCTTGTGAGTTGATTTGGTTCAGGCCTGGCAAATAATCACTCCAATCCTGCCATCCCAAATCGAACACCTAGGAGTCATTTAAGTTCTCTCGCAGACCATACAATCAACGCCTTTATTTCACTTACCCGCTCTACAACTTTCTACCTTCTCAATTCCCTAAGGATTTTCTAATGGTGCTAGGCAAGGCTCTGCCGATCACAAAGGGTACTTCACATCAGCTTCAATAGGAATGGGAATCTTTTCCCCCCGGAAAAACTAATGAGTCGAACACTGAAGAATATGTTTTTGCACTGTAAAGCCATTTATATTTTCCAAACTGTATTAGTCCCATAAAACAGAAACTACAAAGTTTCAGCCAACCGAAATCACCGCTAATCGATACTTGACGGCATAACATTAATTGATCGCCTAGTTTCCACGCCAATTCGAAAGCTATACTCAAAACCTAATACTTCGAACTGAACAAGAAAGATATCGAGACAGCACTCACGTTCCGCCAACTCCTCCGGTGGTGTCGGACGAGATGGTGGAGAAAGGGAGCTCGCAGATAGCGACTGAAGCGCCGAAATTGGCAGCAAAGCGAGAGGCGCGGACACCTCCACTACCGGCGCCAATAGTGAAAAGGTCGAAGTCGTAGCGGCGGGCAGCGTCGGTTCCATTCTCAGACTGGGAACGAACGGTGAAGGTGCAGCAGCGCTGGTATTGAGAAGGGAAGCGGGCATGGCAGGAGAGAGAGAATAGGGTTTTGGGAAGAGAAACAAAAGAGGAACAGAGTAAATGAGAAAGAGGGGGCTTTTGGCAGAGGAGGGTCTGAAGAGTTGGGGAAGAGAGAGAAGATAGCTTCGGGCTTGTGAGAGAGGAAGCCATTGTTTTCATCTTCTCTCTGCGCAGGTTTGCGTCATTAAACTTTCTGGGGATTATTATTAGTTATTCCCAACAGCTTCGCACAATCCATATAAATTGTTCCCCCTCGTAGTCTAAAATATAAAAAGTTGGAAGGACATTTAATAATAGTTGTTTATTTTTAATCTTTTGTTATGGGAGGAAAATAGGTATCATTGATTTAGGGGGAAAAAATTAGCGTATCATCAAAGTTGCTCCCCAAAAGTATATATAATTATCAATACTTATTAAAATAAATATTCATATATAATCTAAATTGGTGGAAGAAATATATAACAGAATAAGAGGACATACTCCTTCACATATTTATTTTGTATACTGTAAAAACACTTTTAAAACTATAGATTAATTTTTATCTAAATACCTCCTAAGATATTCATAAAGATACTGGAAGAGAGACAGAGAGAGGGGGGATACCAAACAAGGGCTTGACTTGTAATGCGACCCAAAAAAGGGGAAAACGGGAACAAGACATCGATAAAAACTAATGGCTTGGTATCTATGAAATGATCGAGGAGCAATAAGCACTCTGTTAAAAGAATTTGTAATACTACTGATTCTTGATATAAGAGTTTATTTAATTTCTATTTTGATTCTAAATATAAAAACTCAATTCACATCGTCTCCCATATTTAACCATTTTTTTCTAATGGAGTTCTTATAATAATGACAGTTCTAGTCAATACACTTGATTAATAACAATATTTTAAAAAAGATAATACATATTTATTATAAATAACTAACTTAATTAGTTTTTTAATATACTCAAATTAGTCAACTAATTCTTATATTAAAGATCGGATGTAGTATAAAACTTAGACTACAGTCCAATATTAAAATCGCAAAAATTGCAACAAAAAAATCATGAAAACTATAAAACCGCAAATTAAGGCCCGTTACAATATTTTTTATAGATTAATAATAGAATTACAAATCACAATACATTTTTAACAACAAATTTATTTACAGTTTCACAATTTTCAGTCATTTTTTTGCAATTTTCTCATTAAAATTTTTAAAGGTTAAAGTTAGTCTCTGTTGGTGGATTAAAAAGATATGAGTCGAAAGAATTAATTTAAATCTTTTAGCAATAAAATGATGCTTTTAAAAAATGACAATAATTTAAAATTAATATAATTTTTGGTCCGTGAAATTCAAGTTTATTTTAGTTTTGATTTCTCAAATTTTAAAATCATGGTAATTCTTAAAATTTAGTTTATCTTAAAATATTAACTCCAAGAGGCATAACGATATTAAAATTTGCTAAAATGTCATTAATGGTGTTAAAGTTGTTAGAAAATTATGAACTCACCAGTTACCACCTAAATGGATCTTGTGTTGATAACAAGAAAGCAAAGAACAGGTCCTTAAATACCAAGGTAAAAAAAACCGGACCGGACCGGCCGGTTCAACCGGAAAACCGGTGAACCGGTCGCTAGTCCGGTCTGGTTTGAAGAAAAAACCGGAGGTGGTTTGAACCGGTGGGGAACCGGTCCAACCGGTAAAAACCGGTGTTGAACCGGGAAAAACCGGTTGGGCGGTTCACATGTTTTTTTTTTTGGTTGCCTAGCCACAGAAAACGACGTCGTTTTGTCCAAAAAAAACCAGAATGAAAACTCTTTGTCCCTCCCTAGGGTGCCAATCTCGACTCAAGCTGCCGGTCCTCCTCCAGTCCTCCCCATTTGGCCATTTGTGACCAAATCGCTGAGATCTCTTCCCCCTCCTCCAAGTCCCAGATTCGTGCCGTGAACCCCAACAAAATCGGATCTATGGCGTCGCCTCATCACTGACAATGGCACTCCTTCCTCTTTGGCTCCGTTCGCCGCTCACATTGCTTCGCATTCGCAGCTCTACTTCGCCTTCGCCGGTCGCCTTCACCTTCGCCTTCGCCGTTCACCTTCGCCGCTCACATTGCTTCAGATTTGTAGCTCGACTTCGCCTTCACCGTTCGCCCTCACAGCTCCCATCGCAAGTCATGAGTCTCCATAGTCCATCCTGCTTCACCTTCATCATTCACGGACGTCCTGCTTCAACCTTCGATTCAGGCATTGAGCTCTAGCCTTGTGGGTAAGCTCAATACCTTTCCTTTTTAGTTGGGTTGTTTTTTTTAAGATCGAAGAGCTGCTTCTCTCTGTGCTATGACCCTGTGACTGCTGTCGTGAGATTTCAGATTTGATAAGGGAGGAGAGTGTTGTTTGACTTGATCCATAGCTGTGAGATTTGAGAAGGGAGGAGAGCGAGATTTAAGATCCATAGTCGTTGATTGACTTGATATTAATTTTGTACAGAAGAGAAGCTATCGTTCTGTACTTCTGCATTATAATTTTGATTATACTGTGAGCTTAGTTTTTGCTGTTGTGCTGATGTTGATCTTCACATATATAATTTAATTCCTTTTGTTTAGTTGTGGATTGGTGATGGATATTTTGATTGTAAATTATATATTCTGGAATAGATTTAATCCAAACTTTAGGTGCCTAACTGATTTTGTGAATTAAATTATATTATTTTATTATGACCGGTCCGACCCCGGTTCGACCACGGTCTAACCAGTGACCCTTAACCCACTACCTGGACCGGTTGAGTTCCCGGTCCGGTTTTTTGTTCCTTGTTAAATACAACATAGAGAGTGAGTGGCTCCTTAGACGAACATAAAGAAAAGGGGTTAATCAACTGCATTTTGAGTATCTTTTTGTTTTTTGTTTTTGTTTTGGTTATTTATACAAGATTCAGATAAGTATCATCACCACTTTAATATGGTTTATAATACTTTAACAGATTTTAATACCGTAATGTTTTTAAAGACTAACATTTTAAGACAAGTAAATTATAGAAACTACAATTATGTGTTTAAAATTTCAGGAATCAAAATTAAATAGGAAAAATCGTAAAAAAAGACCACCAAAATTTAAAAAAAAATGCAAATAAAAACCTATTACAACATTAGTGTGGATTTTGACAATAATTTTTGTAAATGAATCTCTGTATGCAATTTTCAATTTTTGAGGTCTTTTTTGGCAATTTTGTCAATTAAATAAGCCTAAGTTTTAGAAACTAAAAATTAGATTAAACCCTTTTTAAGGAAAAGTTTAACCTGTTTGCCGTCACCCGTAGGGCTACTCGCTTCACTCGTGTCTGAGAAGAAATGTCATAGGCCTCACTGTTGCTTAGCATAAGCTTTCCTTTTCATTCAAGGATGTGATATTCGCTCCCCCATTTCGGTTCTATGAGAATTTATATACAAAATTGCAGAAAACAAAACACTTATCTCTTTTCTTTTATCTTCCATAAAAAAGTATTTATTTGAAAAAAAATGTAGCAGACCCCTAGAAAAACGACACAAAAAGAAGATTCACCACATGTAAAATAAAAAGTAGAATTTGTCTTATATAAACTAAAAGAAAATTTAGTACGCTCTTCCGTCTTATTTAAGAAATATAAATATACCCGGCTGTTTGATTTGCCTGATGCATGTGAACTCGTTGGCTTTTGCTCTATATTTTAGTCGTCCATGATATTTTAAACCATATTTGTTATCAAACAGTACACTTTGATTGACATGTGAAATCAGGATTTTGTGAACGGCTCTCGTGAAACAAGTTGTACATTTTAGAGGCTGTGAAAGATGTTCCTCCCAGGCATTTCTCCATGCATGTTTCTTCCCTCGCTGCACTGCAGTGTCCTGTCTTCTTCTGAGTATATGCTCTTGCTTCTATTACGGGTTATTCATTAAATACAGGAATTAAGAGTGTGCTTAATAGCAATTGTGACTCTTGCATGCATGCAATATGCTCCGGAATTGGAGTGACAAATGAACAAAGAAAGAAGGAAGTGGTTTGGGTGGGAAAAGATTTACAAGTAGTATTGATACAAAGATTAATTTAGGAAGGGAGAGGAGTTTGCAAGTTTAGAGGCGGCAGAGAGAAGGAAATAATGAGAGGACAATTAGAGAGACATTCCAGATTCTTCGTCCTCATCGAGCTCGGAAGTGTAAACAGTATAGAAAGCCCAAATGAGGCCGAAGACACCCAGCAGGATCCAACCCAGAAGGTTGTTGCTAAGGCCGAAGGGCAGCCCTGTTCCTTCAGTGCTCATTCTCTCGTCCACCAGAGCCACGGCCGGGCTTGACACGGTGGCGGCGCACACAGCTGCCAGCAGAGATGCCCCCATCCCCACGTCTGCCTTTAATGACTTGCTCTCCATGCAGCATCTCACTCTTCCCCCCCTAGCCATCGCCGGCAACCCTACGCGAACCATATTCTCAATCTTTAATTCATCAATTTATAAACCAAATCCGTTATTTCAAAACCATTATATCCCGCATATTACTACTGTCATGACAATCCAAGTGATCATTCCCTCCTTAAATCATGCAGCCATGCCTCCAAAGTGAGCACGCATTTATTGGATAATGTGCTTGTAAGAAAGAAATGGAATTATTGGATTTAGGCTTACCACGAACATGAGAGGAGGAACGCTCTAGGGGTCGCCTGTGTGCAAGACCAACGTGGGTGATGGATGAGGTAGGGGTGCTGCCGGAGATGGTTGCCATTTTTCTTCAGTAAGACCGGATTAACCTTGTGTGAGTCCAGGCTTTTGAAGGTGAAGCACAGGGTATAACTGTTTTTTTTCATATTCTCAAACGTTTGCGATTATTATTAGTACCATCATTGCAAAGAAAGCCACTCTCGTATACCACACAATACGGATAGACTACATACAAGCCTCCCGCAGGATTGCCCCCATCTCTACCAGTCCAATTACTTCTTCCCACGTGTCACACCATCCGCTTGACAACCCTTGTGGCCTCTCAATTGACAACGCCTTCTATTCTTCTAGTAATAGAAGTTAGATGGAAAAAAAAATCCACAACGTCAATATTTTGATTAGTCGTTCCTGAAGAAACAACATTTCGCGAGTTCCTTAACCCTAAAACAAAATCATGAGCAGTGGATAAACGCCAGTGAACACCTGAATCCCACTAACTTAAAGCATCATGTTTCACAAGATAAAAATAAATCGATCATTGACACTACAGTTCAAGAACACAGCTCTCATTCCAACAAATAGCATGTAAAATTTGTTCTTGCGGGCAATGTAAAGACCTGATACCAATCCCTCTAACTAAGGTGGGATCATTAAATAAGAGCAGCGAAGGTGAATTATTTACACAAGAACGAATAGAATCTGCAAACAGCTAAAACGCCTCTAACTCTTATTTCCATCCCAATTGTCACTATAAACTGGCTAAGCTTTCCAACAAGTCATGTATAGAAGATTGTTGAGGAGGTACGAAGGGCTTTACAATCAGAACCGCCAAAGAACAGGAAAGAATAGAGCGAAGAAGCAAACAATATGCCATCAGATTAGTCAATTAACACGAGCAAGGTGGGAATATTTGTCCTACTCATGCAGATTGCACTGTTGCAATAACGAGCGATCATAATTAATAAATTTGGTCCAATAACCCTTGTATCTTCCCATTGCAATATCCAGCCATGGTTTCCTAATTCCATCATAGTGTATAACAGCGGCACGCTCAATTTCATTGCGATCTATGCCTGAGTTATAACCAAGGCCAAGAACATGCCACCGTCTTTCCAATACCATTGTCTTGTTATAGAAGGTGAGCCACCCAATAGGCAGACTTCCAGCATTCCATAATGGCCTCTTAGAACCCTGAAAACAGTACCAGATAGAGGCATCAGAAATCATTCCACCACAATGCAGATATAGATTTTGGTGCACACTTGAGAAAAGAAAAGGAATAGAGGGGCATAAGTTGCTTTAAGTTAGCATGTATGCGCCCCATCTGTAACAAGCAATATGAGGGTGGGCATAGTGACATAGCAGATCAGAATTTAACCAACATATCTTTGGAGATAAAGAACCAGCACTAGGAAATAACAAATCTAGCTGGAGGAAAAGTGCCAGACACTTGACTCCAGAGAATAGTCTGGCGATGACGAATTGATCCACAACCTCAAGGAAACACGTCTTCATTAAAACTATTTATCTAGAAATGTCAGCTCCGGATTACTTCATTCATTCCTAAAACCCAGACTGAAAAGTCAAATGATATAAATGCAGCAAACATTGAATGCCATATCGACACTGCAGGGCAAAAAAAAAAAAAAAAGGGAAAAGAAAAGAAAGAATGGAAGGTAGAAGCATAGTACAAAATAGACATATCGTGTTTTTTCCCCAATACCATTTCCAAATATTTGTGGTAGACAGCAGTTAAATCCAGTCTCCTCCACTGTTGCAAATCAAACACGTTCATCCCAAACGCCCATGTGCATGCATTGTCATCAAACCTCTCTGCAATAAATGGATCTGAGAAATTGATGAGCGTATTGATCCTGTAGAATGAAGTATCACCTTCTTTACAAGTTCCGACAGCTCCATTTACTTTTTCCTTCATATTGGCATTCCATAGGCTACTTAGATCTTGTTGCACCACCACATCATGATCCAAGAGAATAATCTTATCAAGAGCAGGGAAGATGTCCGGTAGATAGAAGCGAAGGTAGTTGAGTTCAGAACTATATCTGGGATCACTAAAATTTTGTCTCTTGAAGCCACCGTATTTGGACATCCATTTAAAGTTGTCCATATTTTGTATTTGGAGAGTGGCTTTGCCCGGTGGATTTAATAAGAACCACATCGAGATTGCTGGAAAATTGAGTGAATTGGTCACCAAATGGAAAACAAGTTTCTCGGGTTCCTGCACAGGAAAAGCCATTGTCAGGGCCTTAAGCGTTCTTGCCACACCGCACACAGAATCAGATTCAGATTATTTGGCTTAGAGCCAATAATGATATGTTTCTTGTAGAAACCAAACCTAACTATCATTGTAGCAAGCGTAAACATAGAACATAACCCAGAGTTTGCCCAGTCAAGAATAGAGGCACAGTTTGAAGCAAATGCAGCAACTTACATTCTAATCAAGAACTGTTTATTAATCATGGACCATCCCTCTTATCTCCCCTTGTATATGTTGAAAGCCAGACACTTCTATACAAAACAACTGTTGATTTATATTGATGAAGTAGAAAGACCTCTTCCATACTGGGTAATTAATATTTCATTCAATGTAATCAAAGTATATTCAACTTCTATGTTCACTAGTTGTTTGATATAGATCCAGATTATTAATAGCACATGCTTGATATAGATAAACAATAATGAAACAAATTCTTCTTCTAGAAATAGATACTATTTTAGGGTAAAGAAAAATGCATTGAACGTCAATATATCAATATCAATATTCAATATATATATAAATACAATCTACAACAAACCGGGTTATTCAGAAGCCACGAATTATGCAGCGTGTGTTTTCGACTTTGCCCAACCCACGAAAAACATGTCTAATTGAAACAAGGGAATTTTTTCAAATATGACATAAGTATTATGTAATTACCATACAAGGCAATCAAAGGACTCATGAGGAGGGAACGAGAGAAACATCAAACATGCAAAATGCTGAGGCACCAAGTACATACTACACAAAAATAACTTGATATTTTCAATAAAATAAAAAGAAAAACAAAGGGAAGGTGGAGTTGACACTGGACAGCTAAGCTCAATATTTGATCGGCTGTATTCTTTTTCCATTTCCGCAGTGGCAGGTGGTCAGTGACTAATTAGCCCGAGGTAAAATTGAAGAATGATTGCATCAAAAGGAAAAAGGAAAAAAGAAAAGTTAATCCATATAACAAAAAACATTTACCTTGGCAGTAGAAACAGTGGAGTTAACAACGACTGCACACGCCAGAACATTATCAGAGAAGAGAGCATAGTGATAAAGCTCAGGATCATTGATCTTATTTTCATTTGGAAACTTCCTCTCCTCAGGTCTCAGAGCATAGTATTCTGAAGTCAGCCGCATAGCAAGGCAGTGGAGGCCTTTAGTGGTGGTCCTTGCAGCAAGATGAACAAGAAATGACACTTGAGCTAGCTGAGTCCGAACTTGCTCTTCAGCATTGTAGTTCAGTGCACGAAGCTTTGAAGCCATAAGATGGCAGTGTGGGTAAGCATGGTCAGCTTTGGACAATGTACCATCCATGTGTTTCATTTTCTGCAAAGCACTGTGAACTTCACTTGTTTTTAGATTGAAATAAAAATCCTCTGACTTTGATAGTTGAAATTTAATCCAAGCATTAATAATAAGAATGTTCTCATTATTTTTTAACAGCAAGACAAACAGTCAGAGAGTTTTAAGCCACGGGAGGGTTAGCGATTTCTACATCATATTCAGTAGAAACCGGCAATTAACTGAGGAATGAATGCAAGTTGGCAATATAAGAAAAGAATTTTTGAAATGAATGCAAGCAGCGAATATCAGAGAAGAATATACCTCCTTGGTAAATCTGAATCCTTATTGGCTTCTCCAATTATTTGTTCCATCTCTTTAATCCGCAGCTTCAACTCCTTCACCAAGCGTGAGGTGCTGCTAGGTGGTGCAAACAGCAAGTATGCTTTGGCTCTAATAATTTGGTCTTTAATCTCCATTACCCTCTCATTTGATGCTTTATGTGACTGAGGGTGTAAAGTCGGACGATGTTGTGATGCCTTCCGATCAGGTTCCTCATTTCTCCAAATATTTTCATATTTTGTTCTTTGTGATTGAGTGTTCATTCTCTGATATTGTGAAACTGTTTCATCAAATTTCTTCTGCAAATCCAACCGCATTAAACAGTGATATAAGACAGTAAGCATGTAAGCTCCTTTTCATCATTTTTAAATAATTCATCTGTAATGATAGAATGCAGCCGACTATCCGAGTTACAATACGTATTTACTCAATAAATCTAGATATAAACATTTTCCCACCAAGAACCACTGCTTTTTCATTATCCTTATATATTATTTGCCACCCATGTTAACCTCTATATCTAGCTAGAATCATGTAGATATGAATATTATATCCATCTTTACTGAAAAATCCTAAGAGCATTATTGTGAAATTTAAGAGCTTTATATCTATCTTTACTGAAACCAAAGAGGTTAACCTTCCAGTTAGGTGCACTTTTTCCCCCCCATATACTAGGGGAAGAAATCGAAGCAGGTGCCCCTACAGTCTTTGATAATGCGATTCACTAAAGAAAGTAGCACAAACCTTTTCTTCAGAAATGGAAGAAGATCCTTTCTGATGAATTTGCTGGTTTTCCTTTTTGTCATCATTGAATCCTGGAACTCCAGAACAGTAGTGCAAACTTTAGTTGGTCCCCAAGTGTTGACATTACATGGAAAAAGAAGATATTCAAAATGCTCACAGAGATACCAACCATTTCTCATCAGAAACTTACTTCTGTACCCTACAATTCCAGATTCTTCAGAATCATTACTCTGTTTGGAACTGTAACTAATCCTTGGGACAAAATCGTTTTCTTTGTAAACAACTTGTTTTGGCTCTTCTAATTCTCTAGCATCTTCCTGAAAGGTCAAAAAAAACAAAAAACAAGCATTAATTATTAATTAAATATATTGATTTCCCAATTCAGTGTAAAAGAAGGGTAATCAATTTAAATACTGAGGAAGGATCTTATCAGATATGCTGCTACCTTTTCTATGGAATTCAATTTTAAGGTATCTGTCCTGTATGTCTGCAAGAAGCAGATGAAATTCAATTCAAATCACAAAAAAGGAGCGTAAAAAGCAGTTCACTTGACTTCCGATGAAGTATAGCAA